ATATTTTAGTTACTTTTTACGAGACTTCAACAATCAACAAAAATACATTTGTGAGGTTAATTAGCGGTGTTAATATTTGCCATGTTCAATAAATTAGCCAACGCTGGGTGACTCCTGTGTTTGAGATTATCTTCTGACGTTAACTTCCTGAGTAGGTGTTTGGTCTGCGTGTGGATAAATAAGTAAATAAGTGTGATTTATTTGTGTGTCTTTATAAGCAGGAATGTCTTAGGCGTGTCTTTTAATTGGTCAAGAAAACTTAGGCAAACAGTATCATAATTATATATAGAAAGGACATGTAAAGAAAAATAAACATTTAGATTACATTAATAATACAGTCAAAGACTTTGGGCTTTTCTTGTAGTTTATCCTCCTTTACATTACTAAGACATTTATTTGCATTTTCATTTAACATGCACTGAACATGTTATGGTATATTAATCACTTTTACCATGTACATACATACAAGAACTAGTCCTCTGTTTACAAATGAGTTTGAATCTCTGTTAGTGAGCACTTCTCTTTTGCAAGAGATAATCCATCCACCTGACAGGTGTGGCATATCAAGATGCTGATTAAACAGCATGATTATTGCACAGGTGTACCTGAAAAGTGTTGCGTTTATTTTTTTTGTTTCGTGTAAGAAAGCACAAGGGCATATTCAAAACAGTACGGGAAAATACAATAATATTTATAATGAAGGACTAAAAAAGCGAGGGCTTTTCTTGTCATTTGTTTTCCTTTACAATCTGCAGTTGTATTTGCATTATTCTATGGTCAATTTGTCATCATTTATTAGCATTTAAGAGTAAATTGTTATAGCCGTACACTCTGTTATTTAGAGACATGCTTCTCACACACATATGCACAAACAGGACCTGTGGACAGGCTTTTGTGGGGAGATGTCTGGGTGGGGCTGCTACGCAGGGAGCGCACCAGAGCAGCTGGGGTTTTTGCGGCAGGGCCTGGCACCCCTCCAGCTACCAAACCAACTTCCATATTATGGTCTGAATTGGGACTTGAATCAGCTACCCTCTGTTTCCCAACAGAAGTCCCTAGAGACTGAGCTACTGCCACCCCAAGGTTAATGGCTTGGCTCACACCTGACTTCTTAAATTGACATCTCAATGCATTAAATATCTCAATGAAAGTAGCCAATGGAGCGCTCAGTAAAGAGTATTTGAATCTGTGCCTTTTTGAAGGAGCTGCTTTCTGATGTCAGAGCTTCAACATTAGAAAGGTGAATGTCTCGAAAGCTGCAGTGTTTTTTCGGGTGGAAAAAGATATGGTCTTTATTTGTTTCCCCTCAGGCTGCAGCGTTGGTGGAGGAAGAGACCAGAAGATATCGACCGACTAAGAACTACTTGAGCTACCTTACCACACCTGACTTCTCTACTTTTGAGGTGACAAACGCCTCCGACTTTATAAAATGTCTTTCCTGCTTCACACAGAGAGACAGACGTAACAGCATTTCTTACATCTTGTCACCCTTCAGACAGAAATAATGAGGAATGAATTTGAGCGGCTGGCGGCTCGGCAGCCGATGGATCTCCTGAGCATGAAGAGGTAAAACATAAACACTGCACGAGGGACTTTACATGTGTCTCTTTAGGCTGCTAATACATACACAGCAACATCCAGTCATGCACAATTACTCCTGATCAACATGCTGCTGACCGTATTTTAGCCTAAAGATTGCATTTCCTTATTATGGTCGATTAAAAATAATTGACTGATATTTTGGATAACTGTTATTCATGTGTGCTGTTTTTTCTGTGTGGCTACATTTAATTTTTAAAATTTCATGTGTAGATACGAGTTGCCAGCACCTTCAGCAGGACAGAAGAACGACATCACAGCGTGGCAGGAGTGTGTAAACAATTCGATGGCCCAGCTGGAGCACCAGGCGGTGCGCATTGAGAATCTGGAGCTCATGTCGCAGTACGGCACCAACGCATGGAAAGTCTACAACGAGTATGTGACAGCAGCATGTCTCTCACAGTCAAGTCACTGCTTGATAAGAAATCTCTGCTTAACATTTTGTCCTATTTTTCCTCTTCAGTAACTTGGCCTTCATGATTGAAATGGCTCAGAAGGAACTACAGAAATTCAGGTGACAATCACAGGAACATTTGTGTCATATAAGTGTTATGAAATAAGATTTATAAGCTTATAAGAATTTTTTGTTTTGTTTTGCAGGAAGCAAATACAAGATTTGAACTGGCAGCGTAAGAATGATCAGTTGGCAGGAGGAGCCAAACTGCGAGAGCTGGAGTCCAAGTATGTTCTTTGAAGAGTTTAACGTGCATGGGGTAAAATGTAGGTTAAACTTTCCTCTAAAACATCTGTGTGTTTCCCCATAACAGCTGGGTGTCCCTGGTCAGTAAGAACTACGAGATCGAGCGAGCCATCATCCATCTGGAGAACGAAATATCAACACTCAGACAGCAGCAGGGGGACGAGAACAAGGAGAACATCCGACAGGACTTCTAGAGCCCCCGGCTTTCACTCTCAAATGACACCCAAACACAAACAGATGAACTTTGAAGCTCATTAATGTCCTCTTGTTTCCAAAAGTCTGCCTGGATTAAGACACAACCCAAGGGGAGCAGGTTACCTGTATGGAGGAGATTTCATGTTGAACTGTATCATCAAGTAACTTTGACATTCAGAATGAGCTTCCTAGAAACCTCAGTGACAACACACATGACCAGACTTGACATCTAGAATCCCACTGTAAAAACAGAAGTGGAATATGGTTTAATGCAGCCATACCTTTTGACAGTATACATGTTTAAATTGAGAATATGTATGATTTGCAACAGGATATAAATTGTTGATCCTCCTACAAATAAAAGTACAATTTATATGCAATAAAACATCTTTGCAGCCGAACATGAGTCTGGTATGACCAGACCAATGTTAACTTTTGTATGTAAAAATGAACACCATGTACCTGAACTTACTGGTTTCCTTCTTGAGCTACCTGTAGCATTTGCATGAAGATTATTCCATGAATCCAGTAAAAGTTACTAGTCCCTCTTAAGGCTGAATTCACCAGCATGTATGTTTCACTCTCAGGCGACGTACCAACACACACCACTATTCAGACATGGGTGTAGATATTTGGTCAAGTCTGTCACAACAAAATAGTTTCTCTGTGCTCTGCTTTGACTCCCGTTCATACCATTTTATATGATGTAATAAAATAAACATTTTTAACAAATCTTGTTTGTGTTCATCTAAAGAATGAAGTAATGACTTATATACTCTTCTGACTACTTGCTTTTACCCTGCAGGTCACCATTACACATTCACACACTGATGGCAGAGGTTGCTGTGTCAAGTGACCATCAGAAGTAACCAATCCCATTTAAACACATGCATACACTGCTAACGAAGCAGAGGGGGCAATTTCGGGGTTAAGTGTCTTGCACAAGGACACATCAGACATGTTGCTGCAGGAGCTGGGGATCGAACCCTAACCTTCCGGTTAAGAGACGGCTGACTCTACCATCTCAGCCGCCCCATGAGTTTGTGTCTCACAAAGGCATAACATCTCATTGCGTCACAAACAGCTTTCATAAAATGTAAATGTTATGTAAAAGTGTAATGTTAGAACAAATAGTTACTCTTTTCTCTTTCTAGAAACTATCATAATTATTTTTCATCCTATTGGCAGGAGTGAAATGTTAAATTTCTAATTTCCACACAGCTGCTATTTGTACCTTATTGTAAGGATTCCGTTTATGATGGCAAATCTGTTCTCCCCTGCCACAGTGACTTTCCTTTTCTGCTCAGTTCATATTTTACAAGAGCTCTGTCTACTCTACCGTCATGCAGCCGGCTTGTTTATTGATAAAAATGAAAAGTATATTCAAATTGCAATCCCACTTGATGTGATAAACGGGCAGCTTCTAGTCAACAGATACCTGAAAGTATCCCCACCTGCAGTAATGGCACAGGGCTAAAGTATGACACGTTAAAACCTAAAATGTAAGTCAGAAAACATCTAAAAAACAATGTCAAAAATATCAACATGCCAAGAGTTGGGGCCTAATCACCTGTTAGAAAATGTTTCAGTTCAACTATCTGAACCAGAGGAATAGTGTAAGTGGATATAAGCGTAGTGTTTCCAGCGGTTGGGCTTTCTGTCATTCATCTACCTTGGCTTAATAATTACACATCTCTAAGAAACTGCCAGTCAAATATTCTATCACACGTTAACTAGTAATAAAAGCTAGACAGACATTCTTTGTTCTTGTGTTGTAAAATATGTAAAGTGTTAAATCTTTCAAATTTTATCCCACTAAAAGATTATTATATTATATGAACACAGACTACCACAGGCTTTATCTAAAGTAACAGTTTCACAGAGTTCATATTCTGATAGTGAGTGCACGTACAAGGCAGCGGCTCTTATGAAGGGAAGCCGCCTAAAGAAACTTTAAAGTGTAATGAATCCAGTTTTAGATAGAAATGCACGACTAGAAGTATTTGCATCGTGTCAACAACCGTGTGGGACTAAAAACCTTCAGGGGAGCCCACTGGGTTTCCACCACAGGGACAGGGCCTTAATTATGTTTCAGGGATGTTAATTAAAAACCACATAAAAGTCCCTGATTGGTGGTAGAACTTCAACTAAAGTACTTTTGGTGTTTTTTAGCAGTACAGATTTTTGATTGGTTGGCGGACTCCAAGCGCTTTTATTTCATCCATTATTTACTGGAACTGTTGTTTATTTAAATCATTTCACTGGAACACATCAATGGAGTTACACAACATGTTGTTTTGTAAGAAACCTCTGCCCTTTTGCTAAAATATTGTCTGTTCTGTCATGTGTATGACGAACTTGCTTTATACTCCGAGTGGAATTTATTGAGAAGAGTATTATATTCTACAAGTCAACACGATGAAAATGTCTGATAATTTACTCAAATTAACTTCTAACCTCTAACTTAAAAACCCTCTAGGTCAAACAAGAACAGAAAATAGGTCAATGTATTATTAATATTATTTATTGCCACATTTTGTACACAGTGTGCATAACAACCATTCATCTGCCGCTCTTCCACCACTTTGTTCTTGGTCAGATCGAAACAACGGAGTGATCTGAACATCTGAATGAACGCTAACTCGCTCTGTGGCAAATGAAAAAAAAAAAGCCCAGCAGCTTGAGAGTATCTGCATGATTATCATGGAAAGCCGGTTGTCCTGCGTAGAAAAGTAATGTGGTGGGTAAACCAGATGGGAGGAGTTTCTACTTGAAACCAACGTCAACCGGGGACTGAGCTCAATCGAGATCCCACAAAAACACTGAATGTCATGCTCTCTCCCTTTTACAACTTTCACACACCTCACACACACACACACACACTCACACACAAGTTTGCAGGCACTGTTATACCATTTGCAAAGAACTATAGGGTCATCTTCAGGAAAAGTCATCTACTGTGACTGAATCAATTCTATGTGCAAAACTTTGTGGACAGCGTCAGCCACCGGTAGCTAGAGTAGCAGAAGGTTATTTTGGCCATGCTCCAGTTTATATACTGAGAGTGTTGAGAGCTGGTACTAAAGTAACAGCATCCGGCAGGTTCTGGTTCTGGTCCTGACCCTCTTTACTCTGGAGAAACTTCTGCCGATGCCTCTCCTCCTGACGCTTCTTCTTTTCTTGCCGCTGCTGCTCTTTCCTCTGCTTGTTAGAAACCTGAGAAACAGAGATTTCACTTCATATGAAGACTGGTCAGTTATGAGAACAGAACACGTTGATGTGAAATCTAAAATAACAGAAAGCCTTTGATTGCAACTAGTGGTGGGCGATATAACGATCTTAGATCGTGAAGGATTTTAACATGCTGACGATCTGCCAAAGCAGAGATATCATAGAACCGGGCTAATGTGTTTATTCTAGCATGCTGCAGTTTATGCTCCAACACAGACACGTCTCCCCCCTGTCTGCTCTGCAGCAGTGAAAACAAAATTTAAGAGTAAAGTCCGCAAAAACAACTCCATTCTGGTTATATGCAACTGTTTTGATATTTTTCTAAACCAACACGGCGTGAGCAACAGTTAACTTATCTGTATAGTGTGCACAGTTAAGATTACATCTCAGATAGCGACACAGGAAACCGTTATACGAGCTGGAGAGACGTTAACAGTCAGAGACAGACAGGGCGGCGCTAAGACAGACAGTGAGGGGAGATATAACCCCGGTATTTAAAATGTTGCTGTCAGTGTTTTCTGCTCTCTCTCAGTTTTTAAAAGTTACTTATCAAGCTTCTCCACCTGAAGCTCACCTGTTGTGATAACAGAACCTACAGGGATTAGGCTAAACGACGTTACAAAGCAGCAGGCAGGTGAGAGTGAGTAACCATGGTGACTGTCTGTCTGTCAATCAACAATGTCCCACCCCCTCTATGAATTAAACTCTTCTGTCAGTAAAACTTACTTTGATCATGTGTAACAGAATGAACACATTCTGTATTATGTTTGATTATATATAAACCAAACTAAATGATGTTATAAAAACGACAAAGGCTGCAGAGCCTGTATGAAGCTCCAGCTGTAGGAACTCTGCAGGGCTAAATAGAACAGAAAAACAAGAACTTGAAGTCTACATGTTTTTAAATGAATGCATCAGTGCGTGAAAATGTTCCTGATGAACATAAAAAAAGGACACATAACTAAATCATAATTTCAAAGTGGTGAGGAAAACCTTCAAATTGTGCATAAATATTGATCAAATTGAGGGAAAGACATTTCTGTTGCTAAAAATATTCTGGGTGAGACCTCCAGACCTCCTACAAAGATGTTTTTCAAATAGATTACATTTGTCAGCACAGTTTGTGTGCATTTAAAAACATTATACAGGGAAATAAGTTTGGTTGAACTGGTCAGTAACTTACAAATTTGTCTAAAGAACAGTATGAAAAAAATCGTGATAAAATCGTGATCTTGCAAAAAAAAATTGTGATATGATATTTTTCCCATATCGCCCACCTCTAATTGCAGCTACATTTTTTCTCAATTTCTTTGGCAGATTTCAAGAGACACTTTTAAAGTTCTGAGCACTGAAAATGCCCTTCAAAATACTTTTATTCTAAGTCACGCAATACCTTAAAATTTTCACATTTCTTTTTGTAAAGCAAAAGAACTCTTTTTTTCATACATTATGTGGGGACCTTTGTAGGGTCACACAACAAAGGTTAATTAAGTTAACAAAAACATTCAGTTATTATTGCGATGAAGTGGAGACATTGATCAATTATGATCACAAAATCATATAGATTCAAAATTGATCAAATCATAGAACTGCAACTGGTTGGAAAGACTTTAAATTGTTCCTTTCTGATTTGCAAGTAAATAAATGTGGTGAAAAATTTTACAGATTGATTTTCAGCTGTCATTCAAGAATTGAGGCAAAACAAGTGATAGAAACTGTAATTTGTCTTGACTGTCTGGGTAACGGGTGGGTCTACCTTGGGTTTTTGTGGTTGTAAGTTACTGCCCTCTACAGGCGGTATTTGCTCACTGCAGTCTGGAGCTGCATCTCTGCAGGCTGCACAGGATCCTGAGTCACACTGACCCTGGCAGGACTGGCCCAGCATGGAGCCAACAAGCCACTCAGCATTGATTGTTGCTGCGCTCAACTGTAGCAGGTTCTCCTCATCACCTGAGGATGAAGACAGACATACAAACACATGAAAAAGACATTACATGTTATGTGATCATTCCTGTTAATACAGGCTACAATCTTCGTAGGAACAAAAGGGAATTTTAGCTTAATAGACAACCTTGGAAGGCACAATGGTTATGAAGTTTGTCATAAAGTTGGTTCGTAGTTTTTCACTTTTGCCCTGACAGTCGTATTATTCCTGCAGCTAATGAGTCAAGAGTAACATCTGACCCTGGATTCCTCGATTCTTGATGGAGCTCAGGATCACGTTGTCCTCCTCTGAGGCTGTGGGAGACGGGTTTTTCTGTCTGTCCCTCTGACCGTCACCGAACTCACGCTGCTGTCCTCGTGAGTTCTGCAGATTCTATAGGAAGCAAAAGCAAGAACACTTCAGAGTCATTTCAGTAGCGTATGCCTCAAAAGATGTACCACAATTATAATGATAATAGTAATAACTTTATATATTACAACTGAAAATAGGGTTATAATGTGCTTCGAACAATAAAGCATACTTAAATCCACTCCCGACATCTAAAGGTCAGGGATTTATTAAATGATTTCAGCTATAGGAGATGAGAGGTAATTTTTCTTTCCCTGATATACTGGTACAGTATCCCTGGAAGAAAAGGCAGCCATTCAGCTGGTCAAAGAGACGACATGATGGGAATAGTTGTTCAAGTTAAAGAGTTGTCAAATCTGTGAATGAATGCTTTACACTCTAACTTACCTCTATGCGGAGCTGAGCAGGACTCTCAGAGTTGTCCCCAGTTCGCCTCACACTGTCGTAATGATCTCCATAACGGTAAGCAATATGTAGCTCTATGCACACCTGCTTCTCTACGCCGTTTATCTGCAATGAGAAGGTGTGCCAAAACAGTATTAGATTTCCCATCATAACAGCACCTCAGACTATGTGATAACATTTGAAGGTCTTTGCCTGTGCCTCAGTCCCTACCTCCCACAGTGGTGTGTTGAGCTGATGGATGACCACTTTCACCTGTTGACTGCGAGCAAAGGCAACAATAGCATCGTTGCCAGCAAAGGTACCGGGTTGAGAGAGGTTGGACACTGGATAGAGAAAAACATGAAAACACATTACTCAGAGGAAAATCTTGACCTGTAATCACACACTTCTTCTCTGACTAGCAGCAAAGCAGATCGAGTGAACCTCCTTAAATTTGTTATTCTCCTAACTGTCATTTCCCATATCTAAATTACTTATAAAAACAGGATATGAATATTTAAATTGTAAGGAATTTTGAACAAGTTGTCAAAATCAGTCAAGAATAATAATTTAAAAAAAAAATCATTGAGGGGATACCACATCATACAGTGATACCACAGTGAGTTTTTTCCTTCCTTTAATTACTGAAAGGGAGAAATTATCATTCATTACACAGCAGCAGTGACTCCATTGCAAGCAGTACCGATGGCCACCAGGAGTCACTGCATTGTTGTGGTGAAATTCATATCACTAAACATCCATCATAAAGTAAAATGACAAATAGTCAATTGTTAACAAGGAAGGGCTCTATCTGTATCTGAGAAAATCTATTTTTTATACCTCAAAATCAACCACTGGGTCATTTTCTTACAGTGCTGTGTAAAGGGAACGTCATCCTCCACAAAGGGTTCAAAGTCTTGACGATGGGACATCATATACTGGACAGTCTCTTGCCGAAGCCGCAGGTGACCCCGGGAGTGACCCTCTAACTGGTCGCCTAAAGCTCTGAATAAGCAGTTCCTGCGAGAGAAAAGGGACAGATACTTGTTAATCTACACAATGAGTCATTGTAAACGTTTTTGGAAGAATTAAGGAAGGTCTACTCTGCTAAAATCCGCGGCTTGTATTCCACTAATGCATATATTTGAGTAGGCATTTGTTGGCACATTTCTAGGTATCAGTGGCTTCAACTGTCAGGCTTGTCATAAGGCACCAAGACTTTCCCCAAATTAGTGAACATGACTGATAGCTAATTGATTAAAATCAAATTTTAATAGTTCATTAAGCTTAAGAGAACTTAATAAATTCCAATCTTAAATAGAACCATACTGCTAGAATTGTTATTTTAAGTTCAGTATATTTTTTAACAAAGGTGTGGAATGTCAAATCATGGTTCTAGTTATATTTGTCTTTAATAAGCAGCAGCCATAAAGCTGCTGACTGTGGGCTCAGGAGAGTTCAACTTGGCCCATAAAGACATTAAGTCCTTAATTGTAGAAGAGACAGTTGTTCCAGTCATGGTAGAGGAATATACAAAAGGTGACAGTGTACTACAATCTCTTTTTGAGTCTTACCCGTCTCCAGGAACTTCTCTCAGCCTGAGCCCAAGTGCTTGGAGCTGATTGGAGAAACTGACAAACTCGGCTCCCTCATCACAATCCTGAGGTCTGTTCTTGCGGTCCTTTGCGATGGCCTGTCTTGCTGCTCGCTCGTCCCTCTTGCGTTCCAAATCGCTCTTTTTGTTGCTTCGCACATGTTTCTGTGTCTGTTTCCTCGACATTTTGGCTGCGGCCTTAACAGTGGGCCAACAACACCCAAATATGTCTTCTTACAGGAAAGAGCCGGCACTTGCATCAACAACTGCCACTGATGTGAAGTCTCTTTAAAAGATACACAGCAGAGATGGGGGATGAAAAGTTTTCCAAATAGATTCATCATAAACATGGGCATAGATCAAGTTAACCTTGTAGCTAAATAATCTATTGTAAAGCTCTTATTTAAAATGTATAAACATCAACTATTTTTTCTGTACCTGATGAGTTTTTGGACAAACTAATGTCTGACACTTTCCTGCTGACATACTTAGACTATAAATTACAGTTGGACATAAGGCTGGGAAATATATCGCTTTAAAGATATATAGCTATGCTTTCAAATTAAATTTAGGGCAAGACAATATAGTTTACATCAATATAGATTATGTTTAATTACAATAAAGTTATACGTTTCATTTGTAGAGCTGCCTCTGAAAAACTGCCTGTACACAGCGGTTTCTATTTTCATATGCAGGAAAGGAACATTTTCCATCTACATATATTATTTAAGGTGCATTTGTATTCATTATAACTATCTTATTTCACAAGATGGTAGTTTTTTTGTTTTTTCATGTACATTTTTCATGTACATGTTGACATGTAGCAGTGTGCAGCAGGCTTCCTGTATGACATGTGGATTAAGGACTGAATCTATTTGTATTTCTTAAAAATGAAATGTTTAGTTAATAATACATGGACTATATATTTTCTGTCTATTGTGTAGTGGCAAATTCAAATTTAAATTCAAAGACAAAACTCAACATATATATCACATATACATATATATATATATATATGATATATATGATCCATATGGTTCCTGTGTAATCTCGCTGTATGACTTTCACCACATAACGTGTTTTCATTAAAAAAGCTTACGGAATCATTTAATAATAACTAACTTCAGCTAGCTGGTCACTTGTTGAAGATATTTCATTAACATTTAGAGATAACCTTTGACATGACGCTGAAACCATAGCGTTATGTTACCCTGTTCATCAGGACATTGTAGCTTTATATTATATCAAAACGACAAGTTATACGGATAGCTAACGACTTAATAGTTGTAGTAACTACGTCGCTGTACTAAAGTAATGTAGTACTGTAATGTAGTACTGTAATGTAATGTAGTACTGTAATGTAATGTACTGTACTGTAATGTAGTACTGTAATGTAGTACTGTAATGTAATGTAGTACTGTAATGTAGTACTGTAATGTAGTACTGTAATGTAATGTAGTACTGTAATGTAGTACTGTAATGTAATGTAGTACTGTAATGTAACGTAAGTAATGTAGTACTGTAATGTAATGTAGTACTGTAATGTAAGTAAAGAGACTGTTTGACTGAAACAAACGGAGCGGTATCCGCTGCTAGCTGTTAGCTTACAGCTAGCTAGCATTCACCGTCTTGATATCGACGGTAGTTACGTAATAAACAATAAACCCCCTGCTATTATTTTACACATACCAAGAAACTGACTAACACTGCGCATTGGATGATATGTGCTCACCTTTAAAAATCGTCGTTCAATACGATTCAAGTAGGTTTCGTTTATCGGCTCGGAAGGTAAACGTAGTGATTGTCCGTTTCTTGTTTACAACTGAAGTTCCGCATACGTAGGTCTACGAACGTCATGACGTACGGAGGCTGGGATTGGCCAAACAGCAGAGTCCATGTGAAATTGCAGCAGTATTTTTCTTTACATTAAAACAAAATGTCTGTGGTTACTACAGCCCCCAAAAATATCGTGCACATAGCCTCTATCTATCATGTATATATCTATGTATGTATATATGTGTATATGGATCTTCTATCTATTTATGTATCTACCTATGTGTATATCTATGTATGTATCTACATATCCATCTATGTATCCATCTATGTAGTTATGTATCTATCTATCTATCTCTGTGATAATAGTGACAAGTCAAAAAAGGCTCTGAGTCATTCTATATTGCAGACTGTGACTCAGGACAAGGTAGGAGGCTGAGCTACGTTTTTGAAAGAAATGTTGCTTCTGAAAAATCACTCCACCTTCTGCTCTCCTGAAACTCTTAAAAATCTACTCTCCACCAACCAATAACTTCTGATGACTCCACACAGTTAAGATAATATGGGGGAGGCGTGGGCTGGGAAGCAATAAACAGGATGTTTGCTATGTTAAAAGAACAGCAGACACACTGAGACAAAAAAACATCGCCTCAAGACATAAAACTGCATCAGAAAACAGCAGGAGGCAGAAAGACTGTTCCATTTCCTAAATGTGGAAAAAATACATTTCTTTACCAAACCAGCTGGACTAAAAGAACAAGGACATTCATCAGATTCATCAGCAGATGTCAGTTGTTGTGTGGTTCACTATAGACCCCAGTGAGTGATGGCATTGTGTGTGCACAGATGTAATGGCCTTAAGGCTATCCATGCATGTGTGAATGTGCAGCAATCAGTGTCAGTCACCTGAGTGAAACAGAGGAGCAGTCAACCAAGCGTGGACAATATATCATTCATGATGTGTGTATGTGTGTTAGTCCAGCAGGGCACATACAACCATTAGGAAGGGCAATTTCAGCTTTATATTAAATGAAAATAGTACATTATGTCAACTGATTTCACAATGTACTTGCAATCTTAGTCCGATAGGTAAAGGTTTTTGTTTTGACAAGGCCCTGTAGGTTATTTGTACCCAGTATGAGAAAATACTGTTTTTGTACACATAAAAAATGTGTACACTTAACAATGGAAAAACTAGATTCTGCCAAATCAACTTAATCATCAAACCGTAAAGAGGCTGCATCGCTTATTTAAAAACAGCCAATACATAAAGATTTACAACTGTGATAAGTAAAAGACTTTATTGCCCAGCCGACACCTTCAGGTTTAACATAAGCGTTGTTGCAGATATTGGAGTTCCTGGTGATTGTTGAAATTTAAACGCAGAGAGTAACAAATCTACTATAATCATCAGTTTATCCAGTTAAAATGACAGATTTTTCAGACTCACTGCTTGTTGTGTCGTGAGATGCACATACCTTTGAATTCATATTTTCAGAAATGTGCCCCTTAAAATCAAGCTAAAAAGATATTTCATACATGCATTTTAAAGATGTGCCAAGTGAAAACGTTACTATTTTTGTATCTCTCCTGAAACAAGGTCATTCGATTTCTGGGGTCATTGACCTGTTATTAATCTGTGCTGTTTTCAGTCAGCATGTTTGGTTTCTTATATCTGTGGCTTTTGCAGTTGCCCCAGTTAGTCGAAACACTCATGCATTAAAGTGACAGCGATTTTCCAATCCAGTGACCTGCTGACCACATTTCAAGCCGACAAATGCTTTAAATTCAAATCTTGAGTCTGTAACTGCATTCATGATTGTGATTGCTTATTAGTCCTACTACTAATACATGTTTACTTTACTCCCATCCTCCCCCCCTGGAGATTTTAATTAGAGCCTTCGACATGGTGCCCAGCTTGGCTGTAACACCAGCAGCGTGGCCGTGGGTGTAACAGCTGATGTTTCCGAGTGTGTAACGGCAAAATGCTTTATTAAGAATACCATAGGACTGGTTATTGATGGTTTCAAATTAGTCATTAGTGCAACTTGCATGTTAACTGGAGTCTTGTTGATAACAGTTTATATGACAATTCACTGATTGTTTATTTACATGCATCATTTTGGCTCTTTACCAGTAATTATTCAGCATTTATTTTATTGCTCACTATGAGTTATAAATCACTATTTTCTACATCTATTTGACCATCAAGTTTCCCTTCAAAGACAATGGAGACACTACTTATTGATTTTATGTGAGAGAGTTGTTGTAATTAAATTAAGATATGATTTAATCAGTATTGTGGTAATGCGTACCGGAAGGTTATTAAGGACCAACTGAAATGTAATGGCTTAGCAGCTTTAGATTAAGGTCTTGATAAGAAAAGGTGCTTAATGATGACTAATAAAAAACTGGTACTATGCATGCTTATGAGCAAATGTTACAGCATGTGGTAAATATGTGCCCCTTTATCAAAAACGTTACCAAAAATGTATTTCACTTAAGTAGTTGATGCGGTTCGGTTGCTGTCCTTGGTGCTGATTTAATTCATGCCAATTTCTTCCAAGTGATAACTCTTTTACTTTATATGTTTGTCTTTGTCATAATGTTCATTTTAAAGATCTTTTTTAGGGTTTTTTAATGTCTTTAACAGAGTGACTGGACAGTAGATAGAGTGGGGAATGACATGCAGCATATGGAGCCACACGTTGGATTCACAGCCTCACAGCCTGCCCGTTTTTGATTACAATAACTCCTGTTCTTGGGGGATCGCAAACTAACCACTAGGCCACAGGCACCACCAAAATGTTCATTTTCATGAGTGAGTTTAACAAACATGTATTTTATGTTTCCAAAATGTATTTCATGGATGCAGTAATGCTTGTTGGTTGCTGTCTTTGGTACTGAGTCGATGTCTGTCAATACTTATTGAAGAAGTGACAAGATTATTTATTTAGTTGTTTTTATGTCATAATGTTCATTTCATCACTAAATTTTAAATATATATAAAATTATATGTTTTTCAAAAGAACTGAAACAATAATGGTATGCCACTAAAGCAGCTGGTACGTGTACAAGGCTGTATGGTCGCTGTCCATGGTGCTGAATTAATGTGTAACCATTTATTCCAAGGGATGATAAAGAACATGTCCCTCCAATAGAATCTAGTGTTTATTTTTATTACCAAACTGTTGAGTTGGGATACCTTTGTGAATTGGTGGCCTGGATTTTACCAAGACATGTCTCATTGAATTCACATCTCAATGGATGGTTTGTGGTTTTTCTCTGAATAAGTAATGATTACAGGAAGCTGGGGGACAACAGAAAGACATGCATGGGGTTTGTGGTGTCAAAAAGGTTAGCCATCCATGTTTGAAACTGTACTTTTAATACAATGGTTGTTAAAAATTTAAATCACAGAGTGCTTAGGATTTCTGTGGCTGTCTCTTTAATTAAAAAGCATGTAAGTGTTGTTTTCCAAAAACAGGCTTGAGATTCACTTTTGACTTTACACATGTAGGATAGTAGGAGTGAATACAACAGAAATGGCGCAGAAACAGAGAATGAAAAGCTGCTGATGTCTGAAAAAAAATAAAGAAAGAAAACAAGGGCGCCTGTGTGTATATATGCATGTGTGTTTGTGTGAGTGTGTTGAGGAGTAAAAGGGGTTAAACCTCTGGAGTAAAAAGGAGGTTAAATCACGAAGAGGGCCATTCCTAGAGCCCTCCAGTGCATCTGCAGGTATCAACCACTATAAATAATGAGCCTATAGGCCGGTTCCATAAAGGCAGTTTGCAGTTCTCCCCTCTCATACCGCCCACCACACTCTCTCTCTCTCTCTCTCACACACACACACACACACACATACACACACACGCGCGCGCGCACACGCACAGGAGGTGGGAGTGGATGCTCGTGTAGCTGCTGGAAGCCAGGATGGGATAATCATGCGTGTCTGGCTCCGGGCGTTGATGCAGCTGCTGTTGCGGGATCCGGACTGGACTTGGGGCGCAGGGTGGGTCTAGTTCCCGATCTGGACCTCATGTCGATGTTATCAAGCAATCCGAGATAGGCGAGGGCGATGGCCGAGAGAGGAGCTGGTGTATTTTTTTGAGAGCGCGAGAAATCGACCGTTTTTGCCGATGGAGGAAAGAATTCGCCGGTTTTAAAGCGCAGCCCCGGTTTGGAATAACTTGAGGACACCGAGGAGACCAAGATAGGATATCGAGGGAGCCCTTCACTTGTTTTCCTTATGTTTCTTTTTTAATCTGGGCACGAGATAGAAGCTCGCCGGGGAGAACGGATCACTTTTGCATCGGTAATTAGGATAAGACTGCCTCCGTGGAGCTGTAGCGGCAGTCGCATCCGACCGACAAGGCAGAGGTGGGGGGGGGAAGGATACTTGGATGGAGAGGGCGCAGTGAAGGCTTAGAGAGCGGCTCGCCGTGTGTAGGAGGGGGACGGAGGGGAGACCGGGCAGTTTGAAGGGACGGGGAGCCAGGAGCGGCGCGGCGGCTCCATGAGCGGCTCCTGCCGGGACAGAGCGCCCAGAGCCCAGCCGGAGCGTCTCCACCGCGGGTAGAAGCCCGGGCTGAAGGACGGCGGCCAGTTTGGAAGTTTTGATGCATATGATCACAACCACCATGATTTTTATGATTCTTGGTGCTTCAGTTGTTATGGTAAGACATTTTCGCCTCCCTCTGCCATAATAAGGTTTTCAAATGCACCCACTAAGGCTAATATCTAATTACATTATCACAAATTAGCCTCACATTGATCACATTTAGCAAGAAACTAGCCTACAGCAGGCCTATCAATGACATGTGGATGTAGGTTAGCCTACCTATAATTACCTGCTGTCATAAATAAATAATAAAGTCCGTTTTGAGAGAGTCCCCCTCTTTTAGAAACGGGAGGATGTGCTAAGGCTATTTTCTCTGATTTTCTTCATGATGCTTAATGGGGCTTTCTTAATCGAGATGATAATAATGAAATTAATTATCAGCTGTCTGCAGGAATAGCCTAGCCTTATTGCTTGACATGTCCCAGCTGACTTGCATGCTTCTTTGCAGGCGATAGCCTGTTTAATGGACATGAACGCACTACTGGATCGCTTTCACAACTACATCTTACCGCATCTACGAGGGGAGGACCGCGTCTGTCACTGCAACTGTGGAAGGTAAATGCCATCATCCTCGTACAATATTTGGGATAAACATGGAGGTGTGTGTGTTTTTTTTCAGCCGTAAATTCTTAATTGCTGAAGAGGCCTCGAAGATATCTGGCGGTGAAGCCCCGCAAAGCGACCACTGAATCTGTCGTCGCTCTCTCAGCGGCTCCTGTTTTCCGACAGATTTGACGTTATTTCTTCGCTATTACGGAAATCTCGAGGACACGTTTGGTCGCGGTGTGTGTTTTTCTAATACAGCTCTCTTTTGCGAGGCGTTCGGCTTTGCTGCATATACGAAGGTGTGTGTGTGTGTGTCGGAGCCATAAATAGGTAATGAACTATGAGCAATCTAAGGCCGTTCAAAAACAATCTGAGCATCAAGTGCGCTGCACACAGGCCTATACACGGCGAGATGAGAAATCCTGCTGGGGCAATTATGAACATATGAGCGTACAAGTGATGTGGTTATATGGCTTAAGAGGCTACAGGGCAGAGGCTGCTCATGAGCCTACCTGCTGTGTGCTGTCACAGTGAGAGCAGGGCTGAAGTGGGGGAAAAACAGCAGCAAGACACTCATTAATAAATTACTCCGGATTTAATTAGCATTATTGTGCATTTTCCAGCAACTGTAAGCATGCAATACAGCAGAGGCTGAGCAGACAACACAAGTGGGCCTCTATTTTTTTCTCGTTTTAAGTCTACAAAGCCAGAGGGTATGCCAACAGTGTTAGAGCAAGATTTAGAGTAAGAGCCCTTTAATCTGATAGTTTCACACCTGGATTGTCCTTAGATATTCATATTAACCCATATCCTGCAGCCATTAGAGCCGAAGAAGTCTCTATGTTGGTGCAAGCTGAACAGATGCACATTAAAACAAAACAGCAGTCTATACTGTGCACACTGCAGTGAGGGGGCTGATACAGCAGTTCATTAGCAGCATTAAGAAGCCAGTTTCACTGGGTGTTTTTTAAGCCTGTAAATCCACAAATGGGTCATCCTCAGGTGCGGTTAGATTATGCCTGTCAGGGAGAGATAATCTGAGTCAAAGTTACGAAAAGGCTTCTCACACACACACACACACACACACACACACACACACACACACACACACACACACACACACACACACACACACACATTTGCAAATGAGATATGACAGGATTTGAGATAAGAAGATGCATCACAGATAGTCTTATTTGTAATATTTTGACAATCCTGTCATCCTCACTACTGCCAAAAGGGGCCTGGTTACAAATGTGAAAATGATTTGTAGAAAACAAACTCATAAATGCAGCAGTGATTATGATTATTTTTATTATTTTTTTCAGATTCAAGCATATATACACTGATTTACAGTAACACTCAATATACGCATGTCAAACTTCAGATTACTGTACCCAACACTGTCTCTCACTGACCTGGAAAATACGGAACGAGAGTCGGTCACCCTTTTTTCACACAAGCAGAGCTGACCCAAGCTCGGGCTTCACTCGCCTGCCCTTCCATCCGTGAGGTGTGGAGGTGTCGTGACGCCCACAGCGCTCACCTTATCAGGTTTGAGGACACTGCCAGTGTCATTTTTATTTGGCAGCCTCTGCGCCCTGATTTGGATGTGGTTGTGGCTCCTCTGACGGGCCAAAGCCCGACCTACAATATCTGCCTCTGAGGCAGGGGAGAGATCTAGGAGTGGACTGAGTGAGTTGCTGGGTGAACCCTGCTAATTGGTGTCATGCTGTTGTAAAAAGCTGCAGGACAGATGTCCTAAGATGATCTAAAAGCACTCATTATGGAAGTTTCATTCTTAAATCGGACAGGAAACAAACACCCAAATTCCAGATAAAATGACAGATCTGCAGGATGGAACAGAACAGGATTTAGGTCGGTGCACTTTAGGTTTAAAGGTATAAAGGCACCTTGAATTAATCCTTCATTTTTAGAGATCTAGGCAAAATATCTCAGAGTTTAGCATTGCTATATATATATATATATATATATATATATATTTTTTTTTTTTAGAAAATGTTTAATGGACCTCGGTGGCTCAGCCAGAGATCATCTGTCAGTCAAAACGAAGGGAGAGGACTTCCTTGTTAATAAAGTTGAATATCTAAGGGGGAAGCTGCTTGGAATTTTCAATTCTTGCTTGGTTTAAACAAAACAAATGTAAACATTTAAAAAAAATGGGAAACAGCCCACTGCAGCATAACAGTAAAGTCCTCAGGTGCTCATGTATGGGAGAACAGTGGTTCGAGTCCCATCTCCTCCAGACCATGTGTCACAGGCAAGACACTGGACCCTGAATTGCTCCTGAGTGGCAAAGCCAGCAGAGTGTGGATTTATAATATAAGATTAGTTAATAATGATGGACACTTTACAAAGTATCCTCTGCAACTGGTGTGTGAATGTGTATGTGAATGGGTGAATGTGACATGCAGTGTAAAAGTGCTTTGAGTGGTCAGAAGGCTAGAAAAGCTCTAAACATGTAAACATTCTGCTTAACAATAGCTGGTTTAGGATTTTGGGGTGGCACCAGGGGTGATTATTTCAATAATCGATAGTATCCAAAAGCACAGAAACCCTAATAGGTCTACATCTATTTCACAAGACAGTTGCGTAGGAGAGGAATTAATCTATCAAATAATTGCTGGCAAACTCCTGCGCAATTGCACAAAAACATTAGCAATGATTTGGTACACAAGAATTTACCCAGTATTGGGTTCCTCTGGCTTTTATTTTTGTTGCCATGTATCAAAGCGGGGATTGATATACATCGTTTTTTAATTAAAGCTATTAAATAAAAGTAAAAAATTCTGTTATCATGTCAACCCTAGTTACTTGTACCTGAGATTTATTTTTCTTTCTGCAAATAACAAACCATAGACAACTTGGTCTACTAAACTCCAGTCATCAACTAACTGTTGGTAGATTATTTGGGGATGCCTTAAAAATCTGTCACACAAGCTGTGGATGTAGAATTCTTATGGTGTGGGTGTTTACCAGACAAAAATACACCATCATGTTGTAGAAAATGGAGAGTTATTTTGGAGCAATAGTACAAACGTGAAGTCAGGATATCTCAGTATCTGCTGCTTCAATTCCTACTCGTTATTTTAAATCAGTCTGTTGCACATATTTCAGTTGTGTAGATGTGAAATAGTAAATCAGAGTTCTCTTATATTGTCTGATTGAACATAAAAACTTGTATCATGTTCAAACTTGTTATGAGTGTGTCCCAAAGTGTGTAAGCAGAGGTGTGTATTCAGTACTGACATCCAGCAGGTAAATCTCTCAGCTCCCCCAGTGTGTGGTCACTCACACTGTTTGTCAGTCTACTACCTGTATTGTTAGATTCAAAATACCTTCATCCCCTCCCAGGAGGTAATAGTAGGATTTTTTTACAAAGAGAGTTTTACAATGGAGCAGAGTCAAGACTGGACAATGTGGGAAAAAGCAACTGTAGAAGCAGCTGTTGGTAAAAAAAAAAGCTGCTACAAATGTTCCTGCCTCACCAAGCTGTAATGCAACAGATTAATGCATTCACTGATTACAAACATCCGTTGTCTTTATATTAGTATTCAATCAGCAAAATATTTAAATATTTTCCTCTCCTAGAGATATGGATACCTGGATGGCATCAATGGAAGATTTGTGGAAAAAACATTCAAATTAGATTCAAATTAAATCCTTTTGTGAGATTTTTTCCTTTTTGTATTATATTAATTTAATCCAAAATGTGTTCAATTTTAGGAACGATACATAAACAACTGGTTGATTTTGGATGATGTTTTTTTTTCTTTGCAAAATTGTATTCACCCAGAAAGGCTTTACTCAGCAGGCATGGACAATATATTTGGGATATTGGCGGGAGCTGGTGCAGTGTTGCTTTCGGTTATTTTGGGTCCTTGAGCTTTTTTTTTTTTCCTATGAATTCACAAGTAGCAGCCAGTTTCCTTCAACTTTTTTCAACCACAGCTGCCTGGAGTGCAGCCTGGGGACACCCTGCAAAGTGCGGATTAGTGCAATCTGATTAAAATTTAGATAGAAATCTCCAGACATCATCCAAGATAGAGTGGGAATATGAAATATAAAAACAGCATATGCAAGGTAGACAGTCAGACACTTCTTCTTCCATCTTATTACACACACACACACACACACACACACACACACACACACACACGCACGCATATATAAGCTATATGAGTGTATATATCCCCACATGGTTTCAGCAGAACAGGTTATCAAGTAGATTCTGTGATCCTCAGGGTCAAGGCTGTTTGGAGAATCTTGTTTCAAGTAGGACCGCACCATATGATGAAAACCTTCAATGTGTGTCAATATTGTTTAATATTGCAATGATAATATTACCTGCAATGATTAAATAAATATAAAAGCCTGCATTTTAGTTGTAATGTTACACTTCCTATGTCTTTTTGCTGCTCTGCATGTCCTAAACAGAACCTGGATTTGCAACTTGTTTTCATCAACCAAATGTTCATTCTTTTCTCGGTTTCCCTAGCCATTGTGATAGCTAACCAACTAGTTGCCAATCAAATAGATGCCATTTAATTTGGGTTGTCTATTGGCTAAAGGCTAAATACTCTATAGACTAAATGTTGGGGTGGCTGAGGCTCAGTGGTTGAATCCGCTGTCTCTCAATCAAAAGGTTGGGCAGTTTACACATTAGAGCGTCCTTGGGCAAGACACTTAGCCCCATTTGCTGTAAATGTGTGAGTGATGTTAGTTAGCACCGATATGCACTTTGTATAGCAGCCTCCACGATCAGTGTATAAATGTCTGTGTGAGTGGGGGAATGTGACATGTAGTGTACGGAAGTGTTTCGAATTGTAATTTTTTTTTTTTATACCTTTATTTTAGAGACAGGACAGTGGATAGAGTGAGAAATGGGGAAAGAGAAAGTGGGGAACGACATGCAGGAAAGGAGCCACAGTTCTGATCAGAACCTGGGCTGCCCGCTTGAAGGACCACAGCCTCCGCACATGTGGCTCAAGCACTAACCACTAGGCCACCTAGGGCATTCCTGACAGTCTTTTGCTATATGTAGTCATTTTTTTGGCGATGTTCATAATGTAATAATGATGAAAATACAATGTATTGCAACGTTGATTTAAGGAGAGGTTATAAGTGAGAAACCTCAACAAACGTCTGACTTGATGAGTTAAAAACATAATATATGCTCCTGCAAGAGGAGCGGCTGAATCTAACACCTTTAGCCCTCCACATCAAAACACAAATGTGGAAATATTTATAGTTAGAGGTACGTTTATGGCTACATTAGCGATCCAGAGAGTCCTTCCCTGACAGTACTGAAGCTGTATTTGAGATTGGTTGTATCGCTACATATCATGTTATATTTGCAATTTAAAATAAGAATCAAATGTCTAACCATCTGTGTTATAGAAGGTTAAGAAATGTGTCCTTACCTGGGATTTGTTGGTTTATGGATATCTTACACTCCCATCACCTTCCCCTGTCTGTCCTTCCCGCAGGCATCATGTCCACTATGTAATCCCATATGACGGGGACCATTCCTTGGTGGACTCATCAGAGAACTACTTTGTGAGTGACAGTGTGACCAAGCAGGAGATGGACTTGATGCTGGGGCTGCTGCTGGGCTTCTGCATCAGCTGGCTGCTGCTGTGGCTGGACGGGGTCCTACACTGTGCCGTCAGGGCCTGGAGGGCGAGCCGGTACTACGGTAAGCTGGACATTATCTTCTGGTCTGCTGCAGACACAGCCACAAATACAAGTTGAAGTTAAGCTCAGCCATCCCTAAAAGTCATACAGATCTATTACTTTTCTCTTAACTTTGAAATGTACTGCTACATAACATGTTACAAAATGTTTATGAGAAGAAAAAAACGGTTACTCGCGGGAAAATATCTATAATTCAAGGCAGGAATTGTTGTGACAAATGTTAGGCTATTACAAACATGCTTGTATTTATCTCTGTCCACTATGTATCCCCACACCAAACACTTGCCATGTTAACACAGCAGGTGGCAGAGCTTCCGCTATATGACCTTCCACCCACTGCTAGGTCCATTTTTTGGCTTTTCACACTGATTTTTCTCTGTTTACTACGACCTCAAAACCCGCTGCTCAACCTTCCAACCATGAAAAATTTCAGACATTGGATATCATTTGAGGCTAAAGTAACCTTTTTCTCAGGACAGCTGGAATTCCTCAAAACTTATTTGACTAATAATCTTCTAATTTGTTTTAAGGATACAGCAGAATTAACATGCCAATGTAACAGCACCACCATCAAATGTAATCACCATGTTTGAATATATAAAACTCAGTTTTTATTAAGTTTTTAAAAAGACAAATAAATTCAAACCTTCATGAGAACTGTCATGGTATAATTCTCAAAAGACGCAGTCCGATTAAACAGAAGCGATTATTTTATACAAATACAAAATTCAAAACATTTTGTGGACAGGTCTTTGGAATTAGCAATAAAATGTCACGAAGTGATTCACATTGAATTAGCTTTTTAATATTTACTTAAAAACATCACAGGTGGAGCAGACAGAAACATAGCTGGTCTCACATTTTGTGATGATGAGACTTGTAACCACAAGTTGAGTCCTAAAGGAGGATCTGAAGAGTCAATCAGCTCACTTGGGGTTAAAAAAATTACACAAATAAGCTCACTTTAAACCTTAAAATCAATGTAACAATTGAGAGGCAGTTTAAAATCGCATTTAGGTAACTGGTTTAACTCCTCTTGGAGAGTGTGATTAACGTGGGAGCAGTGGTCTGTTTTTAATGTAGTATGTTGATATTTCTATTGCCAAGACCATTGTGCGGCACAACAATCAAGCCTGGAGGAGATGAAAGCATGAATGACCTTCTCCGGCACTGAATCTTTGTGATGTGCTTCAGCTGAATAAAACAAATTAACCCACTTGATCAGCTAATGACAGAACAGAGATTGTTACCATGTCTCCATGTGTGTTTACAGGCTGACTGCACATACAATAGATTCAAATTATGAACAACAAGCCCTTATTATAGCAGAAACATGTCTGTAAGGCTCTACTGGTATTTCAAAGAGCAGGTCAGTTGTGATATAGCCAAAGGAGAAGATCTACATTTAAAATAATCAGGGCCCCAGGATAGAACCTTGGGAGACTCCAAAAAACAAGAAGGGGCCTTTAACCTCAATAGTGAAAAGTCATTAAGCATTTGTGTAATAAACCTATTTTTGCCATATTGAAGATGACAACAAAGCTTTTCACAGAATTAATTAAAATACCAGCGCTTCCATGCTGAGATTTTGCAATCACATCTAAAAAAGCATATTAAATGAATCCTCACAAATCCTGTTCAAACTTGCTATTTTGTTTTCCATTCACTGCTACAACTCTATTACCACATTTGCTGCAACATTCACACAAAAATACTGACTAGCTTAAGAGGTGGAAAGGCAACTCTTCACTTTGCAGGAAAAGCTATGATTTCATTTACTACTGTATTTTAGAAATTGCCTCAAGACTGGGTCGAATGGAGACAAGATGACCATCAGATCACTGTAACTGTACAAGAAATAGTTCTAGTTTTAGTGCCCTGTAAAATCACAACTTGTCATTGTTATTCAGGTGCATGTTCAGATTTTTCTAAGGTTTAGAGTGTTTAGAAAAAAAACCTTCAAGATTCTGGTAGGAATATTTTTTTAGCTTCAAAGGAAGCCATGCCTGTTTCCTTTAAGCTTGTGTACAATCATATAGTACCATAATGATGCTGCATGAATTTTTGAGGCCTTGGTATCTATCATGTATTGTTTTATGGCGAGTACATGGTTAATAGATTCTTGGTGCTGACTATGTATAATGTAATGTTAAAGAACCTTCTGTATATGTGTATTTTATGAGGGACTGTAGGATCTATTCATAGAGATCCATTGGGAGTGAGAGAGCTAAATGTGATTATTGGAAGTGAACATTTGTCTACGTTGAAGTAGTGTTTGGCCATTCAAATGTAGTGAGACTGTTGTGTCTTTAGGTTTGGGTTTTAAAATTTTTATTGTTGCCTTTTTATCTTTTCATATGAATTCATCAATGCAGAATCATCCACAGATGTAACCCTAAATATCTATGACTATCTTTTTTTGAGAATGGAACAAGAAGAGAACGAACAAGGACTTAAGCATTCATTGTATGATCTACTCATTTTAAGTGAACATTTTTAGGTGGGATACAGAGATGTAGAGTGATTTATTTATGTATCTCCATGTATTTGAGTAAATTGGTGTTTGGTTTATATGATTTCCTGATGCACTTTTGTGATTTGATGACATGCAGACTTGTAGCCACTCCCTGTTTAAGATGGTTTCTCATTGTCAGAAACCATTTGCCTGATGAAGGTCTAGTACCGAACGTTGCAAATAAATGTTTTAGTTCAGGTTGGACAGCAGGCAGGCTCTTGCTCCATAGTTAATGCCCAGACATAAGAGTTGCAGCTCTCTTCTCAGAAGACAAAATCCCATAAGCAGTTTCCAAAAATACATGACTCTTCCTTTTATAATCCTTCTGCAAATATTCTTATAATAGAACTAGAAACTGTTTTTTGATCTTTTAAAACTAAGGCTGAGCAGAGCAAAACCTGCACTGAAGATTGGGAGCAGGTCGCTGAGCGAGGATGATGTGTTTATTCACTCGTGCTGATGGAAAACATTGTGCCCTTGCTTTTGGGCAGAAAGATATTTGCGTGTATTATGTAGAGCTTTGTCACAGCAGACATTATGACTTGAGAAAGACGTACAAAAGCACAGGTGTTACTAGTTATATAAACGATGACTCTGTTGTATTTAAGTGTCTCAGTAAGCAAAGTGTGCGCTTACATGGCCTTCAATATCCCGGTTTGGATCATATTTGGGATATGGCGATTACATGCTCACAGAGAAACCTTGTTATTTATATCCTGTATTCATGATAAATACCAGTATCCTGGTTTCTGAGTACCGCATCTTAAATGTTCATGCACCTATGATGTTTATTTTTTCCCACACAAACCGCGGTCATTTTAAAATCTGTGAAAAATTAGACTACTGTGACTTTTTGTTGGTTGAGCACTATTAAATGCCACCATCGCGATACAGATATGGTGTCTCCACCTCGTTTCCAGCATCGAAAGAAGAGAGCGACAGCAAATAATAAACATGTCCTCACCTCTGACTGGTGCCAGCATGTCACTGCCAATGCTTGAAGAAATGCAGCAGCGACTGGTTGGACAGGTTCATCATAGTTCTTCACCGATAATGACTGGAGAAAAGCATAAATGTGATGAATAGGGCATCCATTAACTGGCTGAGGCCACACCTGTACAGGTAGTCAGCAGCTATCAGAAACCGGGCTAAGGCTTGTACATGCCACAGTATCCTGTTTTCTTCAAGAGTTCTCACGGTAGCAAAATCATGTTGCTCAAAATCGGGATAAGGACTTATCCTGGAGCACAACACAAAAACCCGATCAAAACAGGGATACTCAAGTCTATGTAAACACACTCAATTCGAGTGTGTGACAATAAATTAACATGCAGAAAGAACCCTGAAACTGAAGCAGCTTAATACAATTCACACATTGTGCTTTTTCAATGTACACCTGTGCTTTTAGTGCTGGAACATGTAAAAAAAAAAAGTCTACAGTTTAAAGAAGGCCCTAGCTGTGTCCCAATACTTGTCCCTATATGGCATGAATTTTCTCAACAATGTTTTTATTCATACATCCAAATCTGGTGTACGTATTTCAAGTAGCGCTGTTGTGAGAAAGTGGTCTCCTCAAGTTGTATGTCTGGTGCATGCAAAGTACGTGTTTAGGGCAGCTGGAGGACGTGTTATATTACAAAAGATTGTGTGACTTTGCCCGCATCCTTTGAGATGACGGCCCTGCACACCCACATGTGCTTCCACTTCCGTCTTCTGATCGGACATCCTCTCAGGTTGAATGTGGGTGGAGCTATGCTCGACGTCCGTGATGTCACCAGACTTTATGAATTAAAAAAATAATGGGTCTGCTCCATTTGGCTGTGCCACTTCTTTTTATAGCAACAAGAGTGGGAAAAGCTTCTTAAATGGAGGGCAGACGGCAGCTAAGACAATAAGTATGACGTTGAAACTAAATCAGAAGAAGCAATTAAATTAATCTTTTCACAGCTTTAGTGTGTGGAAGAATCCACACCCTGCCAGCACAATGTGTCTTGACGTTCACCCTGTGATAAAGGTGTATCTGTACCACATGGAAAAGCCAACCAGTCAATGAGGCGCCGCTGTGCACCCCTTCACAGTCCTCAAACGATCAACTGAACAATTTAAATCACCTATGCGGTTTAGCCATGACGCTACAGGGCCTTTAGCTCGACTAATGATCTCACTATTGCCTCAGGAGTTACAGCATGTCCCAGAAATGTCTGCGTCATCAAGCGCAGTCATTGAGAACATTATGACTGCTGGGTGGCTCAGTGGTAAGAACTGTCACATCACGGCAAGAACGGCCTGGTTTGAACTGTCACCGGGTGACTCTGTATGGATTTACAGTATATTTACACTATGCTCTCTAAGTCTAGCTGTCTTTGCTTTTTGTTTAAGGCCAAAGACAGACAGTTCAGATGAAACAGAAACTTGACATTGTATCTAAGTTGGTCCAAAGTAAAGAAAAAGAAAGAAAATAAATGTAAAATGAGTTGAAACTTGTT